CGTGCTGCTGGTACGCGTACGACGATGCCGATGATGATGATGCAGCGTCTTCCATCTTTTTCAGCACACACTCCAGGTCGGCGTACACGATGAAAGGCGCCCGCTCCTTTCTGCAGTAGTTGCGGAAGGTCAACCACTTTTCGTCTTCGCTCGGCAAGCGGATAGCACAGTTGTTCATTTTACCACATTTCTCGCTGTGGTCCTCCAATTTCTTGATGGTTTTGAAATAATGGAGGCATCTGAAAAAACAAAAAACAAACACTTATTAGTACAAAATTTTTTTTATTTAATATTTTCTTTTTTATTTAAATTTGATTTTTTCTTATTGTACTTACCGATCACAAAAGAATTTCTTATTCTTGTTTTTTGTAACTTGTGACCTCACAAGGCGGGACAGGTTTTTGATCCATGCGAAATGACCAATTCCATCGTTGCGTGGACCTTGTATGTATAGCATGTTTACATGCTTCTCCTTCTTTTCGTCGGTAAGCCGAAGAGGTAGAATGTTCTCGTTCTCGATACCGTAGACGTTGATCGAGATATCGTTGAGACGTTCGAATTTCGAAATGTCTTTGAATTTCATCGGAAATTCGATGCCATCGAGATTCAGTACCGTTGCGTAATGTGGATACGACGCTGTTCGATTCACATTACTTTTAGCTGGGTACAGAGCTGCGACCACCGACCACGCGAAGCACTTGTTGTCCATGGATTGTACGTTCACCACCGCTTTTTGATCTTTAATTTTCGGTGGCACTGTGATACGACATCCCGCGTGCATAGGATTCAGTTTATTAACGTTTCACCGTTAAATTCAGAATTCTCGAGAGCGCCCACCCGCTGTCGCGTTCCTGGCACTCTTCGAGCGATGCCAATGTAGGCTCGATAACGCGCGACACGTACCATTCGCGCACATTCGACGCTGGATATAGTTCGCAGTTTTTCGTGTTTATACCCATAACGGTGCGTTTATCGCCCGCTCCGAACTCGCCGTTGAAGACGGTGTTCACTTTCACGCTACCGTGTCTCTCTATAGCGCTCGAGCACTACACTACCGGCGTCTTCCAAAAATTGACGCGGCTCTATATGTCCAGAGTTTATCATCGCACCGGTTAGAACACGATTCTCGAACGCTGCGTCGATCTTACGCCATCGAAGTCCATATCCGGCACCCACGTGCACGAATCGTTCGCTCACCGAATCCTTCAAACTCTCGAGTATCGCCGCGCGATACATGCAATCACATGATTGTCTATTGCCTATTGATAATCGCGGGCGTTTGATACGACTCTGTTCTTCCAGAAATTCGATGAATTCATCACATCGCTATTCCCACGCGACGTACTCTTCTCTGGTATCGAGCAGGGTAGCTTGCTCTATCAAATCTCGCTCCATGTTGTCATTTGTGTTATCGAATGATTAATGACACGATGCGCCTCAATCTCACATTTTTATACTATTACTTGATCACGTGACATTAATGATGTAGTGTTTTGCGTATGCGCAAAAACGTGAATCTGTCTAATAACACTGTGATGATGAGATCACCTCTTGAACATGTTGTAACATGCCGTATTATACAATGTTTCGCGCATGCGTGAAAACGAGAATCTATCTAACAACACTATGGCAATGAGATCACCGCTTGAACTTGTCGTAACATGTCACCGATCTTCCAAGAAAAAATTTAATCACGTGACGTTTAGTATCAAATTACATTAATGATGATGTTACCACCTGAACATGTTGTCCTACTGTGTGCTGAATGTCATTAAAAATTTCTTATATTACGGTAATTAAAATAATTTTTATTTCGTACATCTACGCTTGTGAAGTTACATTTAAAAATAAAAATAAAAAAATAAATTAACGTTTTTTGTAAATATAAAGAAAAAATGTACTATTATACTCTCTTGTACGTCTTAAATTTTTTAAATATATACATGATGATGATGATTGACTCAACATTACGTTGTACACGCTTCTCCAACGTTGCAAACGCTATACGCGAGAGTGATATCTTCGACAAACGCCAGCTCGTTGATTATGATCATATTAGCTTAAGTTTTTTAATTCGTATTAAAAAATATAATGTTAATAGATGTGAATAAAAATTTTTTCGTTTACATTATTTTTCTCTTTTTTCATTTTATTCTCTCTTTCTTCCTTTCTTTCTCTCTTCCTTCCTTTCTTTCTTTCCTCCTCCCATTCTTCTATGCCTCGACGCGCTATCCGATAAGCCGTCCTATTCGCGTTAAACTATTATACATAGATATTTTACACAACTTGAATAAAATAGAGAAATATGAATAAAACTATGTACATTCGTTCCACCACCTTACGTTATAGTATTAAGTACGCGATATACTACGCAAGATTATATTATTACAAAAATTCATACGCTACATATTAAATAGAACATATTAAATAAAACGTATTTTTGAATAAAATGTGAATAAATATTCTTCGTCTACATTATTTTATGTATACTTTCTTTTTTTTTCTTTCTTTCTTTCTTTCTTTCCTACTCCCATTCTCCTATGCCTCAACGCGCTATCCGATAAGCCATCCTATGCGTTTAACGATATATTTAATACAACTTATTTAAAAAATACAAATTAAAAACATTTTAAAAATAGGTTTCAGAAAAATAATTGCAAGAATTTATAATAGAGGTAAACGAAATCGATATAAAAAACTATAATACGACTGTATCGTCCGTGAAGGCGGTGCGTGCCTTACGGAACGTTGTTCCAAGCGTTTCCCGCGGATAGAGTGCTCGAGGGAGCTTTGGGCGAAGAAAACTGCTTGTTTCTCCATCTTTGCACTTTATTTGAATTTCTCTTGTGCGGGCGAACGCGATTACAAACACACAAACTGAACACAATTAACGGAATCACGACGGTAGTCATAGATCCTCGTGCCGCGTGCGATCGACAGGACGGAAGGATAGCCATTAACGGCAGGATCGAAGCTCGATGACGAGCAGCGCGCGCAGCGGCGCGATTGATCGATTCGCGAGGGGTCGATCAATCTCAGTGACGGGACTATGAACGGGAAAAATGATACGGGTATCGAACACGCCGCCCGCCTTGAAAGTAGTAACTTTCAATGTAGAATACAATTAGGTATGAATCAGTCAGCGTGACATGAAACGCGAACAAACTGAAAACAAAAAGAATTGAGTCATTCTCAACTTAGAGATAAAACAAATAATTTGCGCGCAATATGGTATAAAAAGGTAAAAGTAAAGGCTGAGCGCGCTTAATTCTAACAGGTTAATATAATATCGTTTAGCATTCGATCGGTAAGATTGCTAATTTAGACAGCGGCCGCACGTACGAACCCTTAGCAGTTTTTACCAATGCAGTGCGTACAAGACCGTCGGAGCCCGGATGAACTTCTTGGACTCGCCCCATCGCCCATTGAAGGGGGGCTAAATTCTGCTGTTGTATTAGCACGAGCTGTCCAGCTGACAACGGAGTGCCCTTGTCAACCATCCATTTAGATCTCGCTTGTAAAGGATGGAGATATTCATTGCTCCATCTTCGCCAAAAGTGCTGTCGGGTTTGCTCTACGCGTTGCAACCGCATTAATCTATTCTCGTTGACGTCGGTGAAATCAGCGTAAGGCAGACCATTTAAAACCGTGCCAACCAAAAAGTGTCCCGGACTTAGGTACGCTAGATCATTGGGATCGGAGCTTAGCGGCGTTAAGGGTCGCGAGTTGAGAATTGCTTCAATTTCGCAAAAAACCGTTTGCATTTCTTTAAAAGTCAGGAGGGCCTTGCCTACAATTCTAGTCATGTGATGCTTAGCGGATTTTACCGCCGCCTCCCATAATCCTCCAAAGTGAGGCGCGTTGGGGGGAATAAAATTCCATGAAATTTCTAACTCTAGAAAAAAGTTTTTGAATTTGGCTTGGACCTCGTGACTATTGTAGATGTCGTACAACTCTTGGATCTGCTTTTGGGCGCCCACGAATGTGGTCCCATTGTCCGAATACATGTGTGAGGGCTTACCTCTACGCGATATGAATCGCTTAAATGCGGCAATAAATGCTTCGGAAGTGAGATCACCAATTCCAAATAAACCGCTTTCGTGGCGAAGCATACAAAAAATGAAACATATGACTTGTGACTTCGCGCATTACGACGCTTTCCCTCGCGCAACAAGAACGGTCCAGCGTAGTCCACGCCGCAGTGGGAGAAAGGTCTAGAAACGTTAACTCGGGTAGCTGGCAATGAACTCATTAAGACCTCTGATTGAGCGGGTTTAGCCTTGAAGCAACCTATACATTTTTGTATTATGCCACGCGTTGTGGATCGCAACGATAATGGCCAAAAACGCTGGCGCACATTTGCTGGCCATTGTGGCCTGCAAACCCGCATGCAAATTCCGCGTGTGCTCACGCTCTATAATACGCTGCGTTAAAATATGCTTGCGCGGCAATAATATTTGATGAGACGCATCGAATGATAACTTAAAATTTTTTAGTCTCCCGCCTACTCGAATTAGGCCACTTTCGTCCAAAAAGGGTGATAACAATGACGTAGCGCTAAAAGTGTTTATGGCATTGCCTTTAGACAACGCTTGATATTCGGTGTGGAACGCCTGCCGTTGGACCGTTCTGCAAATACAATTTAAAGCGGTGGACATTTCAGCGGGAGATACGGAATTAGAAATCGCATTCGCGCGGTGCGCCTTGGATAATCGCAAACAGTAAGCTATGATACGGCATATCTTATTCAAACTAGAATATTTATTTAGCAAGATGCTCACAACGCATGGATGTGGATTGGAAATGGAGGTTGCTACGAGAACCCTCTTTTGCTCGGGGAGATCGCTCTCTAAATGCGCAAAGCTGCTGGATGGCCACCGTTCCTCGTTCCACTTCAGAAATGCGGGTCCGTTCCACCACGTCTTCGCATCGATTAAATCGTGAGGGTTTAAACCCCGCGACAACATGTCGGCCGGATTGTCCGGAGATGCAACATGATGTCAATGCTTGGTGTCGGTCAATCGCTGGATCTCTCCTACTCTATTTGCTACGAACACCGACCACCGCCGTGAAGAGGAAGTTATCCAGTTCAACGCGATGGTTGAGTCCGACCAAAGATATGTCTGGCAGTTTGAAATGTCCAACGATTCTCTAACCTTGGCGATTAAACGCGCTAATAGTAAAGCAGCCGATAGCTCAAGCCGCGGTAACGAAACTGCTTTGAGGGGTGCGACGCGAGATTTCGAACATAATAATTCAGAATGATACTCGTTACAACCGAATTGAGTGCGGATATATATATAAGCGCCGAAGGCGCGCTCACTAGCGTCACAAAATCCGTGCACCTGCACGAACTGATGAGCATCGGGCTTAATGTATCGGGGAATCTTCAGATGATTCAACGCACCTAATTGCGCCTTGAAAGCGACCCAACGAGTGCAAATATTCGGAGGAACGGATTCGTCCCATTGAATGGACAATTGCCATAAGTCCTGGAGAATGAGTTTTGCGACGACGATGACTGGCCCTAGAAGGCCCAAAGGGTCGAATAACTTAGCATGGTCGGAAAGTATGATTCGTTTAGATACAATCTGAGGTTCCGACTCAGTGTTGCACAGGAATTGAAAGGTGTCCAGGTACTGATTCCATTGCATGCCAAGAATGCGTGAGTCCGCAGAGTTGTGGTCAATGGCGATTGGCTTGCATTCATGATTGCTTACTCCTAAGAGATCAGGGCAATTGGTCGCCCATTTGCTGAGTTCGAAAGCTCCCAATTTTAGCAAATGAATTGTTTCATCGCGAATTGATTTTAATTCGGCTATTGTGTCTGCTCCGGTGAGCATGTCATCGACATAGAAGTCTCGAATGACGCAGGCTGATCCGTGAGGAAACTGAGCAGAATGTTGCTCAGCCAAATACCTTAGGCACATGGTGGCCAGAAATGAAGCAGAAGCCGTACCGTAAGTGACGGTGGGGAGCTCGTAGGTATCAATATCAGCAGAATAATGCTCGCGCCAAAGTATCCTTTGCAGACACGTCTGAGATGCATGCACTGAAATTTGCCGGTACATTTTCACGATATCGGCGGTGATGACGTAAATCAGTGCTCGGAATTAGTTGCACATTTCGGGCCGATTTCTGAGGCGACGCCTACTGTCTCCCCACTACTACTCGAGCCTCGGCGGCCGAGCCGCCGACCGCTCACGTGACGCTGTGCCTCAGGAGCGATACTTCCCAGTATGCTGAGAGTACAACTTCCGACAAATATCATTAAAATATTTTTTTTCTACGTGATTTTTATTTGAACAAATTTTTTTATTATTAGCATATTATGTATATATTCTATAATGATATAATTTTGGCAATTATTACAGTATGATAATTACAATATTAAACAACAGTTTTCCACATCACCTCTGAGGTACTATTGTTGACGCGTTTTTTTAAAGTGGTTTCCCCAATAGGCCTATTCCACTAAAAAAAAATAACGAAAAAGCTGATTAAGTACATAGCTCGAGGAAAGCAATATTCTTTAATGTTAAATATTTATTTAAAAAAACGAACGAGGATGAAACTGAAATAACTAATTTACTTGAAATTTTAAATTTGACCTTCTGGGTCGTTTGCACGATTGTACTAGTGATGATACATCCACAGAGATTTTAGAAGTAGTATTTTACATCATCGAGGATAACGATGCATCATTTTCAAAACGGAAAAACGTTCATGTTTAAAAGATGCGTCGTTATCCTCGATGATGCGAACTACTACGTCTAAAATCTCTGTGGATGTATCATTACTAGTACAATCGAGCAAACGACTCAGAAGGTCAAATTTAAAATTTTAAGAAAATTAATTATTCCCGTTTCATTCTCGTTCGTTTTTTTAAATAAATATTTAACATTAAAGAATATTGCTTTCCTCGAGCTATATACTTAATCAGCTTTTTCGTTATTTTTTTTTAGTGGAATAGGCCTACTGGGGAAACCACTTGAAAAAAACGCGTCAACAATAGTACCTCAGAGGTGATGTGGAAAACTGTTGTTCAATATTGTAATTATCATACTGTAATAATTGTCAAAATTATATCATTATAGAATATATACATAATATGCTAATAATAAAAAAATTTGTAAACAAAAATCACGTAGAAAAATAATATTTTAATGATATTTGTCGGAAGGTGTACTCCCAGCATACTGGAAAGTATCGCGACGATCCTGAGGCACAGCGTTACGTGAGCGGTCGGCGGCTCGGCCGCCGAGGCTCGAGTGGTAGTGGGGAGACAGTAGGCGTCGCCTCAGAAATCGGCCCGAAATGTGCAACTAATTCCGAGCACTGACGTAAATGAAAAAACGGAAGCGCATCAAAATTGAGATCAAGTCCTGTTGAACGACCGGGCCCACAAGTAGCGCATCATTCAGAGATACGCCGGAGCTGTTACGGCAAGAGGCATCAAATACTATTCGTATTTTCGAGGATTGTCCAACAGTCTTGAATACGCAATGGTGCGGAAGGTAAAATGATATCGGTTCGTCGGTTATGGGCAGCTCTAACCGCCGCATGTGCCCCAGCGAAAGATACTCCTCGAGAAACGCCGCATATTGAACCTTGAGAGTGGGCTCGCGCTTGAAACGTTTCTCGATGCCCTTCAATCGTTTGATGGCTATCTCGCGTGAATCGCCGAGATTGCTTAGCACCTGCTCCCTGACCGGAAGCCTCTCTTGACCATAAACCTACCCGTCGAATCTTGTGACACATTGTCTAAAAAATGACGCTCACAGGCGCTTTCTTCAATAGTGTAATTATTCGATGGTAAAGCTATGTCGTCCATTTGCCAAGCACGACTAACTTGTTCATGTAATTCCGAATTGGTTATAGAAGCGTGAAGTGAATGAATCTTTGCGGGAGCGGGCGCGGTATTGCCTAAACGACCGGCTAAAATCCAGCCCAGTTGTGTCTTCTGTAGCATTGGATGCTTGTCCGACGATTGAATTTGACCAACGCACATTAAGTCCCAAAATAGTTCCGCGCCTAGTAAAAGATCAACCTCCGACGATATGTGGAATCGCGGATCAGCGAGATGAATGTTGCGCGGAAATTCGAACTTGTCCCGTCTCAGAGAGAACGCCGGGATTTTATCAGTGACTTGATCAGCGACGATGCAATCAATGATCCCGGTACGAATTGAGAATCGCGATTGTAATTTAATCTGAGCGACCTGATTGGAAGTAGTGACTGTTCCATTGACGCCAGAAATACATAGATACGCTCAACGGGCGTGTTTGTAAACCGAGAGCCTTCACAAACTTCTTTGACACGAAGTTCGCCTGTGACCCACAATCTAATAAAACACGACATGCTCTTGGCGAGCCCTCACTGTCGTATGCATGCACGACTGCAGTAGAGTATAACTTGTTGACCGCCGAATGATCCTGACGCGTGGGTCGCTAAGACGGAAGGTGCCTTGGGTGCAACCTCCTTATTAGAATTGTTAGTTGATGCCTCCGTGGTCGAAGGCATGTGTAGAAGTGTATTGTGCCTTGCCTGACACACTTTACATTGACCGGAAGTACACTTATCCGAAGTGTGAGAGGAGGAGCGCAAGCAATTGGTGCATAATTTGCGGCTGCGAATTTCCGCGGCCCTCTGTGGGACTGGAAGTGCCACAAAATTTTTACAGTAATAGATGGCGTGATCGCCCTGACAGAAATGACATTTAGATTTAACGGTGGCCGCACAAGACGATTGCCGCTTAATATTTGATTGTGATTTTGTTTCGTTCTTTTTTGTGACAGCGGCAGACGCGGTGGCCTCAAGCACTTGACAACTATGAGCGATAAATTCCAACAGCTGTTTAAGTGATGGAAGTTCGTTTCCTGTTAGAGATATTTCCCACTCGCGTAGCGTGATCGAATCAAGTTTGGAGGTTAAGATAAGAACGAGAAGATCGTCTCAATGCTCTGTAGGACGCTTCAATGCCTGAAGGGCATGCAAATGCTTTGCAGCGCCGTCCGAGATCTTCCTGAGCTCGACTGGATTTTCTTTTGCCATGGATGGCAAATCCATTATAGCCTTAACGTGATTTTGTACAATTTCGCGCTTGTTGTCATATCGACTCTTGAGAATTGACCACGCGACCGCGTAATTGGCATCCGAAATTTCTAATGAACTGATTACGGCACTTGCGTCACCGGTGAGACACCCACGCAGATATTGAAATCGTTGCGCGTCTGAGAGCGAGGCATTGGAATGAATAACCGAATTGAAAGTGTCGAAGAACGGGAACCATTCGTCATACTTGCCGGAGAACGACGGTAAATTTAATTTAGGCAGCCGAATATGCATTTCACTATCCGAGCCGCGAACACTTGAGGAAGAAGGAGAAAAGATAGATGCTCGCGATGCGAGGGTGGGAGACAACAGCTCGCGTATTCTAGCGGATAATGTATAAAACGCGTCCTTCGAAACCACCTCGATCGCCGCCTTCACTTTCATCGCACATCTCCAAACGCGATTGCACTTCATTATATTCGGACCAATAGTGTTTGAGCCTTGCTTTACGCTCTTCAAGCTGAGTCGCTATTGAAGGAGTTACGGATGAGATTGATTCGACGTACGTTCTGATACGCGTGCACGATGCCTTTATGGTCGTGCGCTGTCGCTTGAGAGTTGCCGCCTCTGATTAGTCGACCATCTTGGATGCGAATGTGTAACGTACGCGATGAAACGATTCTGGTTGGCAACAGAAATAATGGCCTCCCTTACCTTGCTATGCGACGCGAAGATGAGCGCGAAGATGCTGGATGCCTCCTCGAGCGTTGACGAATGGGGAAGTCTCCTCTCGCGGCGTCTGGACCGTTGAGAATGTCTCCTGCTACACTTCGTCAGGGCTGTCCTCTGCCCTCCGCTGATGCTGCGCCGAAGATATGCCAAGAAATGAGCCGGGTTGCGTCCTTGATGACGGACGCGAGCCTTGCAGCTACTTATGTCGTGTCACGCCGCTGTTGCGACGCTTGAGTCGTGATATGCCGCTGATGCGACGAAATAAGCCGGGCTGCGTCTTAATGTCGGACGCGGGCCTTGCAGCTACTTATGTCGTGTCACGCCGCTGCTACGACGCTTGTGTCATGCCGTGCACTTGAGTGCAGCAAAATGAACCGGGCTGCGTCTTAATGGCGGACGCGAGCCTAGCGGTCACTTATGTCGAATGACGATGCAACGCTTGTGTCGTTGCGATGACCTTGCGCCTGTCGAAATCACTGCTCTCCACTTCACTGAGATCGAATACTTGCTAGTATCCGGCTCGAAGGACCAAAAATTTGTATCGTCCGTGAAGGCGGTGCGTGCCTTACAGAACGTTGTTCCAAGCGTGAAACAACCTAATTTCCGCGTGGATCAGCTCGTCGTAATTTTCGCTAGTCGCGAAAAAGGTTCGCACGGGAAGAGAGAATGCAGAATCAAATTTAGACTAGACACAGTATTTTACAAAAGACAGAAAGAAACGTTTATTGTGTGTAGTGTGTGTATTTACAAATGAGTGTGTGTACGTGTTCGTAAGTGACAAGCAGGTGTTTATTCGTGTGCCGGTGTAGATGTGTATGTTGTGTATATTGTCGAGACGGCAAGCAGACGAGACGGATACAAGACGTGTATAGAAAAACTACGAGGCGCGGACAAAGAAACTAAGATATTACGGACGGCACGAACAGAAAAACTATACGTGTGAATTACGGCGCGAGTACGGCGGAAAACGCGGGGGAATCTCCGAATCCCAAGACGGACGCGAGGCGCGGTCGGCGGTATAACAATACGAATACGCGTACGCGAAGTATACGCCAGCGGCGGATGACGGTCGCGGCGCGGATAACGCGGTGGGCGTTCCCTCTATGCAATGAGGGACGCTTCGCAAAAATGTAGAATGCACAGGAACCTTACGACCGACTGCCAAGAACGCTTGGCGGAGGCGAAGAACACTTCACCCCCTTTTCTCGCCGGTGCGCAAAGTCTAGGATACTGGCGTACGGCTGTCAAGAACGCTTGACGGAGGCAAAGAACGCTTTACCCCCTTTTCGCGTCGTACGGCCAGCGGATCAGGAGTTTTGGTGATCGACTGTCAAGAACGCTTGACGGAGACCAAGAACACTTGACCCCCTTTTCGCGTCGGATCACCGGAGCTAGGATCGGAGCAGGATTCGTACTGGAGCGGCGGTTCGGATAGAAGAGAGCTCCCGGAGCAATAATTACGCGTTATATACTAATTATTGCTCCCGCTCGTTTAATTACGGTCTTTTCCGTTATCGCCTGGCGGTTGGCAATTCCTGCGGAGGGGATTGTCGATCGGCGATGTTCGGTCGCGTTCGGTCGGAGCGGCGGATAGCGCGAAGCGCAGATCGTTCGGCGATCTTCGGACGCGTTCGGTCGGAGCGGCGATAGCTACTGTCGACGAAACTTTGCCACAATGCAACGGATGAATAATATACAATGATAACTATATACAATGATAACAATAACTTGTGCCCAACACGAATTACAATATACAAGAAAAAGTAGCTACCGGGAACGATGCAGTCCGAGGTGCATCGTTACAAGCGTTTCCCGCGAATAGAGTGCTCGAGGGAGCTTTGGGCGAAGAAAACTGCTTGTTTCTCCGTCTTTGCACTTTATTTGAATTTCTCTCGTGCGGGCGAACGCGATTACAAATACACAAACTGAACACAATTAACGGAATCACGACGGTAGTCAGAGATCCTCGTGCCGCGTGCGATCGACAGGACGGAAGGACAGCCATTAACGGCGGGATCGAAGCTCGATGACGAGCAGCGCGCGCAGCGGCGCGGTTGATCGATTCGCAAGGGGTCGATCAATCTCAGTGACGGGACTATAAACGGGAAAAATGATACGGGTACTGAACAACGACTTATATTTTACCATAATGAAATATGTATAAATCAGCTCCACTAAAACTTATGTTACAGAAAAATATATAAAGTATGAAATGTGTAACAAGAAGGTATTTGAACGCTATAAAAAAGTATATTCGATGACTATCGCAATATAGAATACCGCAACCATATGAGTCATATCAACCGTCGTGTGGCGACTTTGTTTTCTATACGCTATGATTGCTTGCTGATAACTCTCGAGGATCGACGCCATAGCGAAGAATATATGATTCTCTTCGAAAACCAAAATTGACTGCGGATTAATTCTATTTAATAAAATCATCGATTTCGTTTTCTTTTCATTTGAATAAATATTTTTCAAATATGATTAAGATATCTTTTGGTTTTTTCCATAATATTCGCTTCTATTCTGTATTATTTATTTATAGCTTACAATCTATAAGAAAAGAATAGATATGTGTACAACAATTAAAACGTATAAGAAAGTAATGAACTATAAGGATATAATCATCTTCTCACTACTACATACTGTAACGATATAAGTGACGTCATAGTTACTTTATCGTGGCGGTACTTTTGATTTAACTTGTTTTATATACAAAATAATGCATGCAGATAACTCTCGAGCCTTATCGCCGTAGCGAAGAATGCTTCTTAGCTTCAGTATTCCTTTGTTTGTCAGTTTGTGCTAACCATGCTCTTACTTCAGCCGACAGAGAAAAAAAAGTATATTTTTAGAAAGGAGAAGGAGGAGGAGGAGAAGGAGAATATTATTCTTCCTACACTTGAGTAACACATCGACCTGAGGGGGGGGGGGGGAGTAGTGAGTGAGTGAGTGAGTGAGTGAGTGCTGCCGCTGCCGCTACCGTTGCTGCTATGGATTTATTATAATGTAAGTAAAAACAATTTTCTTTCGCCGTCTCTATTAGTTACGCGGTCCGCCACCGCTATCCGCCACCCGCGCCGCCACCCGCCGCCGCGACACTAGCGCCGCCTGGTGGCAACTGATAACTTGCATCAGTGATTTAGAATCCCCCTTGGATAACTACTTATGTATTAAGCAATTTGGGGGGGGGGG